TAAAAAGAGCCTGTGTTATGTTAATTTTCCCAATTTTTTTAAAACAACATACTGCACTTATTTTTATTTATAGTACCTTTAAAACTGCAGTTTCTGATAGGAAGTAATTCTATAGTGTTTAATTGCATCCAGCTGCAAGCTTTATCACAAAACAAACTCTCTGAAAAAGTGCAAGGCAGGAAGAAAGTATATGTTGGAGAATGAATTCTAAAAAGATGCACTTCAGAGTAATTTCTTAACAGCATGAATATTTCTTTCTAATTCAGCTGGGTTCAAGTAAACAGGGAGGCATACTACAATCTCCATTTTCAAGATTGTGGAATGATTTTGCATGGATATTGTCCCTTGTCAAACTGATGATGATGGATTGAGGAGGGTCCTTTTGAATGCTTTAGAAAGAGAAAAAGTCATCATTCAAAAGGTAAGAATTTCTGTAAAATACGGCAAATTATAGTTTCTTTTTCACAAGTGTAGAAACAAAATTAGAAAGCAGATGTAAGTTGAATTTATCCTTACCTATGGAAATAAAAAATAAAAATACCAAAGAATGTACTGTTTTTGCAATTGTAATTCTACCATCACATGTACTAGAAAATATCCACCAAGTTAACTCCATGTTTCAGTGACAAAGACTCCCAAACATACAAAAAAACCTCAAAGTTCATATTAAACACGTGTGCTAATTACTGAGAGGGCTTATGAGCTTGCAAAGAGCAAGTGGCTGTCTACAAGAAGCTTTAGAGAATAAAGTGTGGGGGCAGAGAATGGCTGGAAACAGAGCCATCTCAAGCATACAGAAAAAGGATGAATGTGTAAGGACAGGGAATTGCTTAGGGATGGGTTTTTTTTCAGAATAACTTTAGCAGTTGTATTTTACCTCTCCAGGTGGGGTAGAATTCCACCTGGTTGTAGATGCTAATTTTGTTCTTATACAGCAAGTCAAAATGTCATAATCTTAGTTGGATGAAATAAAAGATCTGTAGACTGTATGCAGCTACGAGGTTGCAGCAATATGAAATACCCATAAAAGAATACAGGGTCTATCCCAAACTCAAGTTAACAAGCTAGACTTTCAATGTAAAGAGCAATAATCTCTTGCCAGATGTATACTCAAATAGAACAACAAATTTGGCTTGGGAACATCATCATCATAGCGTTTGTGATAGGCCCTCTAAGAAGGCTAATGTAAGGTAGGGCATGGTAAGAGACTTCCAGAGCTGCTAGATTTTGGCCACAGCCCTTAAGACTTGGAATGCTACTGGAAGAAGATCATTCTTCCTACAGGAGTAGGTCTACCAAAACTCAAATGCTTTTGAGCGTGTGCTGTGCCTTTGTTGGTCACACAGTGGTGACCACATGGTTATTCTAGTTGTATTGCTTCGAAATAGAAAGTGCTTTTGGCTCTACTGCTTTTCTTTTCCCTCTTCTGGAAAGAAGAGTCCACCCATGAGTGGCTTCCTAACTAGGAAAGGCCCAAAGATAGAGAGTTTTACAAAGTAAAAGTAGAGCTATTGGAGAAGGAAAATAAGATATACCATAGCACCTTTCCAAATGAATCCCAAAGTGATTAGTATGGAGTTATTGTTCTTTCACTGTAACTATTTTTCTAGTAAAAGGTGAAAATAAACTGGAAAGTTTTGAAAGACCCGCGTGGAAATGGTAGGCTAATACAAGCTTGCACATAAGCAGAGTCCAGAAGCAAGAGAGGCATAAAGAAACTTTGAAGAAAGATGTTGAGAGGATTCAAATGTACTGTGTTGAAAACAGGAATGCTTGCCTGGTGCACTAGTGCTCCCCCCAAAACAAAGGTGAGAGCTGTGGCCCTTAGTGTATGTTCAGAGGGCTCTGCCACTGCCACAGAGTCCCCTCCAGATGTGTCACTGTGAGGTTGGAAAACATGTGTTTAACTGAGATGATCAGAGACAGGAGAACAGAGTTCAAAAGGAGTAAGCCTCTGTTTCTGGAGGAAGTGTAGAAGCTGAAAAATGCCAGAAAGGCGTTTTTGGCTCCTTCACTGGTTTTGTGGTTTTGTGGTTGGGTGTCTGGCTAGTGAAGATGACAGCTGCGTTCAGCTCCTCGATAGATAGAGGGGCCCATCATGTGCCTGGGGAAGTGTGTGTAGGAGGAACCGGAGAAAGGATTTCTCTCACGCTGCTGAGTAATCTTCAAGTGTTAGCAGAAAATGCTGGGTCTGTTTCATGGCTGTGATTATGTACATTCACAACTCCAGTGGAACATAAATGTTGCATGTCGCCTGTGATTCATTTATTCTGTTAATTGCAGCTGGAATTTCCTTTTGCTGAAAAACTTATTACTAGCAAAAAAATATTTGTCACTTTTCAATTGAAGACAGCAGCAAATGTCTTCATTTTGCAGTAAACTAGATGACTTCTGACTAATGTAAACCAATGAAGTCCTGCTTAAGTAAGGGGGGCAGTTGCCACCGCTGGGGATTGGACACCCTGACATGCAGTAGGAATTGCCTGATCTAATTGGGCAGGCTGTGAAGCAGCAAAGCAGCTCTCAGAAATCAAGAGGATTTCTTGATTTTTTTTTCTTTCTTTTTTCCAGTTCTAGTGGAGAACTGAGACTTCAGATTGACAAAATGTACCTGATTTGGGCTCATGCTTTCCTTGTAGGTTCAGCATCAACTTACTATACATACCGTATGGGGCAAACACTTGATTCATTTGATTTTATTTCCTAGGCAGTCCATGGAGAAGGTAGGTGAATTTACATTAGTTCTTGCCTGATACAGTTAATTTTTTTTTCTGCTATAATTTGACTGAAGCAACAGAATCATGTAAGGGACGAGCATTACCCACAAGGACTTACTTTCTAAACTCAGTCTTCTGATACTTTCATGCTTTCTTCCTGGCTGAAGATGCAGCCTTCATGTTTACTCTTGTGGCTTTGCTATTCCTAATCTGTACGCCGCCCCATTCCCTTAAATAGATGAGATAACTTGTTTGCTTTGACTTGAAAAGAACTTTCATTTCTCCCAAGGGCGTCAACCATGCTCAGTTACGCTTTTCTGAGTTAAAATAAACTTCTTTTCAAACATAAAAGCCTGTGGGTTTTAGCTTGAAACAGGGGTGAAGGAAAGAATAGCCATGGTTTTGTAATTCCAGGAAGACTTGGCAAGAACTAAGAAAACCTCTTCAAAAATGCATCATCTCTACCAGGGTGGGCAGGGAGGGGAAGGTGGAAACGGGATGACAGCAGTAGCTGATGTTCCACAGGATCCATACAATCCTGAGTGCCGTTTTGCCTTGGATTCTCGAAAGGGAAATGGGTCCCTGTGGTAGCTCCAAAGTTTGAAAAACTTTGTTCTCAGTGGAGGGGCAGGCTTGAGCTCTTACTGATGTCTGTTTCTTTGCCAAGCTGAGAAATCAAGAAAAGTGACACTTTAAGGAGGCTTCTGGGGAATTGTCTTTGGAGGATGGATCAAAAATGGCAGCCACAAGCAAGTACTCTGTAATAGAAATTATATAGAAGCTCCTAAAACAATATATTTTATCTTAAGCCCACTGTGTCATAGATTACACAAGATGCATTTGCTTTCTGATAAGAGTTTTCCAAACTCTTCTCAATTCCCTCACCATAGCAGAAGATATTCCAGAAGATATTCCAGAAGATATTTTTTCCCTTTTGCATATAGGATATGTGAAATACTTTTCATAGATGTCTAATTTTTTTTTTATTTGCTGTTTTCAGGATAGTCCATGAAATAAAAAAAAAAACAAAAACAAAACAAAAAGCTTTGAGATTTGAAACTTAATGGGAGAGTAGCAGGTTTAGGTGCATGCTTTATTTAGTTATTCATTCCACTAAAATTATATGTTAAAGGAAATTAATTTTCAATGTAAATGTCATTCCTTGTATCTCAAAGGCCTCACTTGATATATAGCAATGACTCCCACTACTGACTCTTGCTACCATGGGACTTCAGCTTGTGTTGCCTTCCGGCAAATAGCAGGTTTCAGGTGCTAGTCTCTACAGGTGAATGCACAGCAAAATCAAGCTTAAAAAGATAAAATGAGCTGAGAGATTGTGCGGCATTAAAAAGACGGATAAGTGAAAAAATAGGTGCTCAGTGTTCACTGCATCTGGGGCCAGCAGTTGTAGATCAAACTCGAGCTCTAGTAAACAAATGATTTGCATTGCCATATGGGCTGTGTCTTTACCTGCATATATATATATGTGCTACAGCATATGTCTAAGTGGCAAAGAGGAGGCAAAACTCTATATTTCAAATGAAATAACAGCATTTATGTATTCTGTCCCTTTAGAGTTACCAGGTGGGCGTGTAATATTGTTGTATTGAGAGTGATACAGTGATGTTGTTTAAAACAGTAAGAATTTGGATCCAGTAGTGTTGTATGTCAGTTAAAAATTAGGCTTATCTAAAATTTAACCAAATTTCTAAATTGCCTGTTGTCATTCATCTGAAATGTTTACCTAACTGCCCATTCCTTCAAGGTGCTTAGTTGGACGAAGTTCAGTATTTCCAGATACATCCAGATTTGCTCATCAGTAGGCAAAAATGTGTTCCCAGTTGGAAAATGTCTTTATTCACTTACTGAAAAGTGGATTTTATTCAGCAATATTAAAATCTTACATATTCACTGGGAATAATTTGGCTTGATTAAAGATGGTAACTGAAAAAGTCATATCCCATGAAAAATCTTAGGATTGGAATGTCCTCTACATCTACAATATGCATGTTGAAGTAAAAATGGTTTAATTTTGATCTAAAAAAAAAAAAGAAGAAGAAATAGTGTGACCTCTCAGACTATAAATAAAGAAGATAAAACAAGGAAACTAAAAACTTAAGAGCATCTCCAGACTGAGACTGCAGTGTTAGTAGTCATGTTGCCAGTAGGGGAAACCACTAAGGCTGATAGGCTTGTAGGCTAAATATATGGTGCTGGCTAACACTCCTTTTCCAATTTCACTTGAGGGTGGGATAAGGAATGACGTGAGAAAGGGAAGAAACGTAAGTCTCTCGGCAACAGCAGCCATCTCTGGAGTGCTTGAGGCTAGCACTGGATCAAAAACCTTACGTAAGCTGCTAATAAATGGATCTTGCTTGTTTGCACTTCTCGGCAGAAATCCCATTTTGTCTAATTTTTGTTGTGGTTGTTGCAGAATTAAAGACGACTTCTGGCTCTGAAGTTCTGGGAAATACTCAAGGAAGATGAAGTGAGCTTTGCAGCACTTCTGGTGTCTATTGTGAATATGCTTTGCCTGAGTTAAAACGAAAAAGTTCTGAACAGTAATATAGTCTAAGCTTAACAAGGGTGTAAAAGATGCTTTGAAATTTGTGTTTCTCATACTTACGTTGCTTGTCATAAGCGTGGTTACCAGCAGTGCTGATGGGTTGCATTAGCACTGAAGGGCCACTCATGGCAATTTGGATACTGTAATACTTAGACTTCTCCTGCAGTTCAGTGCAGAATGCAAAATGAGTCACAGCCAAACTGCATTCTAGTAATTCAGTATTTAATGTCTCTGTCCGTTGCTTTGCTTATGTGTCTCTGAAGCAGTGCCTACATGGGCTGGAGGCAGCCTGCAATCCCTAGGAAGGGGCCCAGGATCTTTCCATGCTAGCAGGTGTTACAGCAAGAGGTTTACGGTTTTATTTGCGTGGAAGGCACTCAAGCAGCAGAACCCCTTAGCCTGATGGCAGTAAGTGTTCGTGTTGCTCGCTAATGGCAATGCTGAAGTCAAGGCAATAGTTTAATACATCAAAACATTTGTTTTTCATCATTCTGTGAAATCATTGAGACTAAAGCTAAGGCAGATATTCCCAGCATCCTTCTACTGTTGGCTACTTTGTTTCTTCAAGCTAACATGAGTATGAATGATAGGAAAAGTTACTGAAGTCTTGGTAGAAAACAAGTGTGTGCTGCGGGAACTGGCAGATGTCCTAGCCGAGCCGCTCGCCATCATCTTTCAAAGGTCCTGGAGAACGGGGGAGGTGCCGGAGGACTGGAAGAAAGCCAACATCACTCCAGTCTTCAAAAAAGGCAAGAAGGAGGACCCGAGTAACTACAGGCCGGTGAGCCTCACCTCCATCCCCGGGAAAGTGATGGAGCAGCTCATCCTGGCTGCTCTCTCCAGACACATGGAGGAGAAGAAGGTGCTCAGGAGTAGCCAGCATGGATTCACCAAGGGGAAATCCTGCTTGACTAACCTGATCACCTTCTACGAAGGAATATCTAGCTGGATAGATGAGGGCAGAGCGGTGGATGTCATCTATCTGGATTTGAGCAAGGCTTTTGACACTGTCCCTCACAGCATCCTCCTGGGCAAGCTCCGAAGGTGTGGGATAGATGAGTGGATGGGGAGGTGGATTAGGAATTGGCTCAATGGCAGGGTGCAGAGAGTGGTTGTCAATGGAGCGGAGTCCAGCTGGAGGCCTGTACTTAGTGGTGTCCCCCAGGGGTCAGTTCTCGGTCCGGTCCTGTTCAACTTATTCATTAACGACCTGGATGAAGGGCTGGAGTGCTCCCTCAGCAAGTTTGCCGACGATACCAAGCTGGGTGGAGTAGCTGATAGCCCTGAGGGCTGTGCTGCCATCCAGAGGGACCTGGACAGACTGGAGGACTGGGCGGCGAGAAACCTCATGAGGTTCAACAAGGGCAAGTGCAGGGTCCTGCACTTGGGGAGGAATAACCCTGGACACCAGTACAGATTAGGGGTGGACCTGCTGGAGAGCCGCCCCACAGAGAGGGACCTGGGTGTCATGGTGGACGACAAGTTGACCATGAGGCAGCAGTGTGCCCTGGTGACCAAGAAGGCCAACGGGATCCTGGGGTGCATTAAGAAAAGCGTCTCCAGCAGGTCGAGGGAAGTGATCATCCCCCTCTACTCAGCCCTGGTGAGGCCACATCTGGAGTACTGCGTCCAGTTCTGGGCTCCCCAGTACAAGAGGGATGTGGAGCTGCTGGAGAGAGGCCAGCGCAGGGCTACGAGGATGATCAGGGGCCTGGAACATCTGCCCTATGAGCAAAGGCTGAGAGAGCTGGGCCTGTTCAGCCTGGAGAAGAGCAGGCTGAGGGGGGACCTGATCAGCGTGTATAAATACCTCAAGGGAGGCAGTGAGGAGGAGGGGGGCGGCCTCTTTTCAGTGGTGGGCAGGGATAGGACTAGAGGAAACAGCCACAAACTGAAGCATCGGAAGTTCCACAGGAACTTAAGGAAGCATTTCTTCACTGTGAGGGTGACAAAGCACTGGAACAGGCTGCCCAGAGAGGTTGTGGAGTCTCCTTCTTTGGAGATCTTTAAAACCCGCTTGGATGCAGCCCTGTGCCACGTGCTTTAGGTGACCCTGCGTGAGCAGGGGGGTTGGACTCGATGACCTCTGAGGTCCCTTCCAACCTTCGGCATTCTATGATTCTATGATTCTATGATTCTATGAATTAGTTCTTGCCAAAATTTGAGGACCTGGTATTTTAAGTGACTGGCATTATCTTCTTTAGTCATTTATCTACACAAGTTCCTGTGCTGATTTCATAAACCCCATATAAATACATGTATGTTCAGCAGTGTTTTCTAAAATATCATTGATCATTAGTGATTCTGTATCAGTAATGTCATTAGCCCATTTTGGAAACGAAATTCTTGTTTCTTTTTACACTGTGTGAGGCCTGCCACTCTTTTCCATAGCTTTCCAATGCTGCATGTGTAGTGGGATTCATCAAGGAAGACTTTGGAATCTATACAGACTATAGATAGCTGCAGTACTGTACATTTCCACTCTTCTGTTGTGTATATGGTTTGTTTTGACTTCACTGTATTCACTTATTTTCGTAAGCTCTGTGTAATAACCCCTTAATTCCCATTCTAGCTTGAATGATAGCAGAGCTTCATTTAGTTTCTGCGTCAGCCTATGCAATCTGGCACTACTTGCCTTTTTTAATAGTGTATTTTATTGTCTCATTAGGAATCTACATCACTGTCTAATTGCATTTAATCTTTTAATGACAATGATTACAACTGTCTATTCATAGGCATGAGGTTTTTATGCTTAGGGCCACTCTAAAACCATCATAAAATAAAATTTAAAACCCTCTAAATTACCAGTTGTTGAGAAATGAGAGGTCAGACCATCAACTGGCCAGAAGTCACGATTTACCTAAGTACTTGAGCAACCAGGAGAATCATGTGAATTTCATTTAGTAGCAGCTAGGACCTAAATGAGCTTATGATAAGTGTAGTTTGTGACTAGTGCCGGTGTTCCCCATTCCTGCCATTTTAAATGTCCATAGGATGAGATGCATCTCTGTGTTTAGGTAACACCAAGACTGAGACAGATCAAAACTCTTGTGTTTGTTAGGCTCCATTTACTACATTTACACTGTAGTAAATGTTAGTACTTGCCTTCAGAAATCCTGATTTTGTAGAGGTTTGTAATAAAAATATTAAGATAATAAGAATGGAGAAAGAACGAGGATGTCTAGTGGTAAGATGATTGGAAACTTGTAAGAACAGCCAGCTTTTAGTTGCTCCTCGGCCACCAGAGCAACACCACCCTCACATAGAGCTTTCCAGGTTCCCAGATCAGGAAAACAAGGGACAGGCTAGCTTAAGGACAGCCTCTCCCCAAATTAAAATAAAGACTTAATTAACATATGGTGGCAATGACAGTAATGACCAGTTGAGCTTTTAGATTCAGACTAGGCTTTCAGACTCAGACATAAAGACTAGACTTAAGGAGACAAAGGACCATGAGAAAATCCTGATGACTCAGAGAAAGGTGAAAGTAATCACTGTCTTGAGAAAGCTGGATAGCTGGGAAACATTTTAAATAATTCACTTCCCTAAGGAGAGTAAAATTGCCGTAGTCATGAATTATACTGAATGTTATGGACTAAACTAAACTTAATCTGTAATTATCCTAAGGATGCTGATGTTGTAGTTATCACAGGCCTGCATTTAACATACTTGGATACAAATTCAGCCTGATGCAAGTACTGATTTTTTGTCATGTCCTTGGATGCTTCTGTTTGACTGTTGATATGCTTGGCCACCAGGTGGTAGATGAAGAAGTCTAAGTGTTCTTGTATGTGCAGGAAGATGCTCTTGGTGGAAAACAGTCCTAAATTGGGAACACAGACTTTATTATAGAGGAGAGCACATTTGCTTGGTCAGCAACCAACTACTTGTTCATCCCAGGTCATGTTCTCACACTGATGTGTCTTTTCTGATAAAGACAAAAGCAAAGAAATATATTCAAAATACCTTTTGAATGAGCTTTGATTTTCACATCAAACTTCCTTCTATCTCTATTTTTTCCCTGTTTTTATTTTCCATTGTGTGTCTGTGTATTTATTTTGGTAAACTTATGTATAGATGAAGAGTAGGAAGTGTATGTTGGATGAAGAAGAATATGTTATTTTTGGACCGAACTCCTATTACTGCAGCTCATGGTGTGCATATTGTTTTACTGGTTGCTTGCAATTGCATTGGTGCAAGTATCTGAAATACTCAGTTTTGATCTGATTTTTAACAGACTCATACAGTTTATATGTAATATACATAGCATATTTGTCCCTCTTCCTTTCTATATGTCCTGTACAGACCTCAACCTCTCACCTCCTAAAGACGACACATTGGTGACATTTGACTGAAATATTTTTTTATTTGTATAGATACGTCAGGATATTATTGAAACAGTTTGACTGGTGGTGGGGAGGAGGTATTAGTTGGCAAACACAAAATTACAATAATAAAATTATTACTATAAACATGAGCCAAAGAGAATAATAATTTTATTATTGTAAATTTGTGTTTGCCATCTAATGCCTCCTCCCCACCATCAGCCAAACTGTTGATGCACAGGAAGGTAGTTTGCTCTAGACTTTAAACATGAGCCAAAGAAAGTCTAGAGCAAACTACCTTCCTGTGCATCAATATAGAAATCATCCTGTTTTCCCCAATGTTTACATAGGATTGTACAGTTAGGGAGGAAACTGATTAAGAGAATTTAAAAATTGTGCTTTTGTTTAGGCAGTGATGTCTAACTACAAAATCCATACCTAGTATAAAACCACATCTTTAGAAAAACATAGTCTAGACGTCCACATGCTTATACATATCTAGCAGTGATGACACTGCACAAATTTGAAGTTGTGTAGAGAGAAGAACAGACAGTTGCTTGGTAGTCTCATCCGCATCCCCTGGTGTCTAGAGAAATGTGGAGGTCGGAAAATGAAAACAATTTCTACAACTTCTATTTAGAAATTATTGTACAGTTAAATACATGGAAAAATACTGTAGCTGATGAGATACCAGAAAGTAAAACTAACATTAGGTAAGGTA